CATATAATATTTAATATAATACATATTGCGTTGTACACATTACAATTGAATCATATTGATTGATATTGTAGTTCACTGTAAACTAAAAAATGTCGTCATACATGCTTACTACTAAATCACATTTCTGCAATTACATAATGCTCATATAATAAATGATGAATACAAGTGTGGCATGCTGTATGTGCAATCATGTGACAGGCCGCTGCAAGGTTGAAGGATATTACCGAATAACGAGGATCCACACCTCTATCATGTTTAACACCTCTCCAGTTGCCATGAACCCAGGCTACACTCAGCGACGCTCGTGTGGTTTCACCAGTTGACGTCTGATAAGAAGTGCCGCCCATTCCCCTCTCTGCAGTGGCCTCCCCGGGGAGGATCATGGTCAGGCTGGCTGGCTGTCAGAGGGATCAGGGTGAGAACAGAGTTGATAGCCTTTCAACATGACCGTACATCAGGCCGTCCCCAAACACCATGCCATTACCGCTGATGGACATCTGGCTGAAGAGCACTTGTGCATACGGAAATGCTTGAATGGAAACATCCACAGATTGGCTGTTCGAGTCGCCTGGTTCGAGTCGCCTGGTTTGGGGATGTATGTGTGTTGTTCCATTACGTGTTGCTCAGCAACTGACTTGTCTTACCTCATTCCATTACAGCAGCTCAAGCCCTTCATCATGGAGACAGTGTTTTCAAAGTCAAAGTGCTGAAAAAAGTGTTAGTGCATTTCTCTCATCAAGTCATTTACAGACAGTTAGAAAGAGAAGAATGTGAACTCACAGGTTCAATTTATAACTTGACCATAAAGTGATGTTCAGATTTTATGACCTGTGGATTCATGGTGAAAATTTCACATGGCCCTGAATGACACTTCCTCTATTAAAACCCTCAATTAATTGAATGGAAGATAATGGTGTAAATCATGAGCAAGTGAAGCGTGAAACATCTATAGGGTTGTGACCTACATATAACGCATGTACTGTAATTGTCTTTAAATGAGCTGGAATGTAAACCCAGAAGTTTCTGGCCAATCACAAGTATATTAGGGACAAAAACAGGCCTTTACATCCAAAGCCTCTAATCTGGTTCCAAACTATGAAAGACTTTTTGTGTGCCACAGCGCACTGATCTCATTGTCTGCCATTGAAAACATGATGCAGCCAAATGCTGCTTGAATGGCCAGACTCAAAGAGCGTGACCAGACTCCAAACAAGCTTGTCTCCAAGGACCCGAGGGCCCACAGGCTGGACCGCAGCTGACCCAAACACACAGCACACAGCAACGTTCTGCCCTCACCCCACTGCCAGCCTGATTGTGAGGCCCTTTTCATCTGCTGGTCTGAGAAGAGGTTTATGTCTCCAGCAGCAGTGTGGCCACTGACAAAATTTACATAATGTATTTATTATGATGTAATCAAATACCTTGGAAAGGATAGGAGAGTAATTTTTACTTTACCATATATATATAGCACAGACTCTATATAAAGATGGACAAAGTGTCTCCAAAATACCCAGAATACTGCCATCTTTGGCATTGGAGTCAAAATCTGCACATATGAGGGACTGAACCGCTGGACCGAGTGTTGTGCTCGGAAAAATAAACTCTTAAACATAAATCATTGCCATCAAATTTTTGACTTTTTTGTTTGGTCCACGTCCCATTCACTAACATGGCGGAGGTGGGCTTTATAATCTATTCTGCCGCCAGCCTCCAGGGGGAAATCAAGATGCTTTGGCTTTAATTTTGGGGAGCAATCATGTCGTCCATCTTTATATACGTAGTTAGGAGGGTCAGGACTGTGATAGACACTCACAGTTGATGGGTTGCATGAAAGCATAGAGCTGCCAGCTCCAATACCAGAAATCATTAGAAGTATAAATCATATGTACCATATTACATTTTGTATTAAAGCTAATCTCTACTGAAATATTGACTTTGCAGCTTGTGGCAGATTTGTTCGCTGCAATGAAGACGATATATTGAACACAGAAAATGTAGGGATAGAAACCTGTGGAGAAACAGATACAGTGAGTTAGATACTGAGTTTATCTTTGTATTCATCAAAAGACATATGTTAATACTGAAATGTTATATGTGTTTTATTATCCAACTATTCTACTGTCTGTCTCACTGTGGGCATTGGTCCCCTGGCTCCCTCTGTTGGATGGTCTGGCGACTGCTGTTCCCACCCTAACCTAGACACACACACACTCTCTCTCTCTCTCTCTCTCTCTCTCTCTCTCTCTCTCTCTCTCTCTCTCTCTCTCTCTCTCTCTCTCTCTCTCTCTCTCACTGTCATTTTGATAATACTAAAAACCTATTCCCAGGCAGAACACCCTTGCACATGTGAACAGATGTGATGCATATTTAATTTTGTGTCCTGAGGGCCTATATATGAAACATGTCTTATTGCACGGTGCCGTTAAATTATAAGACATGTTTCTTTTTATAGCTTATTTGGAGCTGCTGGAAACAAAAGGCACATATGGTGATGTATCAAATGATGGTTAAGCAAGAGGTTGTTGTAATTCAGAGTGTGGATAGACACTAAATGTGCCAGTAGGCTAATTCAAATGCTATTATACATAATGTCTCCAAGGACGGGATGGGGGGAATGCACAACCGGCTCCTGATGTAACTTTTCATTACTTCCACCTGATTTAAAAGCATTTCAATATAGAGGCAGTGATTTCCGCCTGGTGGACACCAGTGTATAGCACTTTGTGCTCCAATGAGCTTGAGGCACTTCCGGCACCACAGTCAAGTCTTATTCTTGCATATCGCCTTCAACAGCAGCTGTTCGAACACATGACAGTTGGGGAAATTTAATCTGGCACTGTCCACTGCAGCTATACATGTATGGCTGTTCTTATCAGTACAGTAAGAGAGGATGTTTAACAGAAGGTGAAGGATAAAACTGAAAAATTGGTCAAAAGCAAGACTTTAATACTGATTACATTTCATGCAAAGATGAGCGGCATGGTGGTCCAGTGATTAGCGCTGTCCCCTCACAGCTAGAAGGTTCAAATTTCTGTTTGGTTCTGTCTCAAGTCTGCACAATTGTCATGTCTCCAGGTACTCCAGCTTTCTCCCACACAGACATGCGGATTCGGGTCAGGTTATTGGAGAATGCGTGAACGGTTGTTTGTGTTGGCCCTGTGCTGGTGACATGTCCAGGGTGTACCCCGCCTCTCACCCAATGTCAGCTGGGATTGGCTCTAAACCCCCCTCCGTGACCCTCAAAGGATAAGTGGGGTGGATGATGAATTGATTTCATGGAATGTGGTTTAACAGTCAAGATTATAAAGGAAACTCAAAAACTAAAAGTAAATCGGCTCTCACGAGATCAAATGATAGGTTAATAAAGTTGGACATAAAGTGTGACTGATGTGCTCACGAAAATATATTAATGGTAATATTTTTATAATAAATGTCAGTTTCTACATGTTTTACAAAATGTTATTCAAGGCAGAATCCTGTCTGTTGCTTTAGCCTCAGGCCTGCTGACCTTAATGACACATTCTCAAGGTCTTTGAACTCTGTTTATGGCCAAAGTTCATGTACAAAAAAGTATGTGTTTGTTTTGCAAGGAGAGACACAGTGTTTTGTTCACCACAGTAGCTTCCAGCAGCCTCCATCTCCTTCTCATTTGAGTCTCAACGGGAGGGATTTCATTCACAGCGGGACATGTGGTCAAATTCACCAAGAAACAATTTGATTGATTAGTTGGCCGAGTGTTCGAGAGATTCCCCAGACTGAGTGTTAACAGGTAGAGCTGGAACTCTGAGATATCCTCAATAATCCTGAAAACTTTGACAGTGATGCATTCAGGCGCTAGCTCGCTCTAATCTTTTGTGACCTCATCCGTCTGATACAAATACACATTTCTCATGTGATAGATCCTCTGCTCAGAATGTGAATTCAGATTGAGTCAGCGATGAAGAAGACGTCCATTTCTTTCAGCTTGATATTTCAGAGGTGGTCTCACCAAATTCATACTCGGCAAAGAAACTTTACTCTGGCTAAATAACAGCATCAACTCTACCCATGGCCTCACCAAGGTTAAAGACACACAAGAGTTTGATGAAACGACAGCAGGAGTGGGACAAGGTTCAAGGAACCAATAAACTATTTATGAAATTGGGGTGAAGTTTGGAGACCTCAGGCGCTCTCTTCCTCTCTCTCTTTGCTTTAACCAGCTGGTGGTGTCAGCTTTTTTAAACGACAGACAAGAGATCGACAGAACCGACGAGACTATGAACAAATTGTTTTTAGAGTGATGCTGTGAGATCTGAAGCTGGCGGTGCATAGACGTGAAATAAATAGACAACCCTGAGTGCTGGAAGAGCAATAAAATATTTGAAACCATTTATATGTAAAATACTAATAT